TATATATATTTATTTATGCAGATTTGCTTATAATGTATGTGTGTTAATGAATTTTATCCAAAATGTAATCATCTGACCTACTCACAACAAATTAGTAATAAATGGAAATTTAAATAGCTTCGGAATAAAAAAACCAGTTTCTTGCAAATACGCATATTTATAATCTCGATTCAAATATTTAGGTTTCCACAATATTTAATGAACGCGCTGTTCCTATGACTTCCGCATTTAAAATAGTGGAAAAAATTAGAAATAAACATTATAAAATTGCTAAGAATAATTAGATGTGGTATTGCATTCTATGTATCTATTATAATAATTATTATTTATTATAATAATTTTTTGCAAAGGTTAGATTGCTATTGCTATATTTAAATTTAAGCTTTCTATAAAAAAGAATTTACTTACTCATTATTACTTAATGTTAAATCTTATTAAAAATGTAGTAAACATTATATAGGAATTATTTAGAAACAGTACTTTATGAAGGAATTTAATTATGTGCAGTAAAAGTCGTTAAGTACTGTAAAATTAACAAACGATTCCGAAAGTAAAATTGTTCCATAAAATAAATGAATTTAATTTTCGGCATCAAGCAGCTAATGTAGATTTTTCACTTTCGAACGAATTAATTTACACATTAGGCGTAATAAACATCCATTTCAAAAATCCATAGTTGCATTCTGTTAACTAATTAAAAAAAATTAAAATTAAAATACTTTCCGTTTTGTGACTAATAGTCTATTTACTGTGATTTAAATTGCATTTGGAGAAGAGGACTGAAAGTATATTTGTACAAATTTTCCTATACCGTGTCGTATTTTTCAAAAGCTGATGCCAACCTTTGATGAATACATGTAATAGAATATTGCTACGTTCGGTTCTTAAGGATATTTGGGAGGTATGTCAAAATGCTACAAGGCAAATAAAAATTTGGAAGAACGTTCCTCATTCAATTCTAAAACTCCTGTAAAAATTACAAATCGATTCACTAAACCGTTAAAAAGTTATTGAAATTTTAAAAAATTGTAATTTTACACGTCATTTTATGGAGATTCGTTAACCGAACAGATTAAATTTATTTTTATTAACAGAAAAAAAGCTACCAGAAATTTCAAACTTTTATAATAAGTAACTTGAACTCTGGAGAATCACTTTAGCGTAAGGTTATTCAAATTCACTAAATGGTTATCGAGGAAAAAATGAAAAATTAGCTGAAAATCTCGTTTTTACTTGATAATATAATGATAATATTTATAATTGTCTGTAATAAATGCAATTTTAAAGTTTTAATTATTATTTAAACATATTAAAAAGTTTTACGCTCATTATTAATAAAGATTGAAACTAAATATTTTTTTGTTTCGAAGTTGGAATCAAGGCATATTCACTGCCAAAAGTCAGTTAAATATTTTCCATATTATTCGTTGTTTCATATTTTATTCAGTTTTTGGTCAAATTCCAAATTTTCTCTCAAACCGTATCTATACTTTTTTTTTTTAGTACAGATAGTATTTATATACCTCATGATATGCTGCAAAACTTAATTAATCACGAATTTCTAATTTTATGTACTCTTGTCTCCGATTGTACCTCCCAAACATCCTTAATTAAGTCGCCACTTGTATAGCTACCCTATACAGTCATTGAAATCACCTTCTCCCGAGTTCTGTCGAAGAAAAGTGCTTCTTCAGAAGTTAAGTAATAGAGATAAGAAACAGGGGTCTGGATTATCACATGACAAAATCACGGAACTCGTTCATTACACACAAACCCTTCTCTTTACACTAAATTATAACCAATTAAATGTGTAATTATTATTATCCCAAACATGGGTTTATTACTTTTTTATTACGTTTGAACGTAAACGGTGTTTTTAATTACTTGTTTTCATGTTTGTGCATTTGTCATTGTAGAATAATTGTTTTTAATGTAAATGTATGTGTAGGTACATTTATACTTATTGTTAGGTACAAAAAACTTACCTGGAAACTGGAAATTCGTCAATCTGTTTGTAATCCTCGGAACGAAAAAAACTAAAATTAACTGTCCTATGCACACATATTATGTCACTGTCTATTAATATACCGTATATCGTTCTTAATACACCTGTTAAATAATACGAAAAGGAAAACACTTCACACGCCAGGGAGAGTTTAGAACATGATCGTCCGCAGGATACGTTTGGTGGTAGTTTTCTATTCTAGAACAAAATACAAATACATTTTTGGTTGAACATCAATTTTAATAAATTTTTCTTTCTACAAATTTAAGAGTGTAGACTAATAACAGTTTCTGTTTTGTTTTTTTATAAAGAAAAAGCGAATTTAGAACCTTTCTTTTAAATAAAATAATTAATTCAATCAATCTAATTAGATATAAATTAAAAAGTGAGACAAACTTTACAAAAAACAAATTTGGTCTTGCTATTTTTCAATACCACAGTCTAAGTAAAACAACATTTTAGAAATAGTCTCCAAAGGAACAGGACACTTACGAGTACGATTTTGCTGGTACGTACCTACATAATTTGCAAAAAATGTGTTACAGGTACAACTGACTTCATCCCCGTAATAGAAAGTACGTATTACTTGAGGTAACCAATAACTTTCAAAACATTTTAAAATAAAATTCAAATAATAATTTTTTATTAATCCAACAACTTCGTTAAAGGTGATGCTAGTTTTGGACCATATGTACATACAGAATATTATATAAAAATAGACTTAATTAATAAAACCTACTACAAGAGCACACTATTCAATTGTTTCACGCACGTTTCAGTGTAGTGCTCGAGGAATTCATAAAACAAAAAATCGCATGTAATAAAAATACTAACCCGGCGATCCGTGGAAAACTGAGAATTACGCAATGGTCGGCTATACGTTTTCCATGAGCACGCAATTGTTCAATAAAAAGGTACGTTGAATTAAATCTGAGGCACTTTGCTGAACAAAAGGACACTAACTAACAATCGAACGGACGAAAATCACTCAGGTGCTCCTAGCTACCTGGTCAACATTCACTTACTGAAGCTCAGGTAAAGTCATTTCACCTGTTGGATCGGAGGTGGGGTATACAAACGACCGCAATGGTACCTACAATACGTACGTATGTGTACCATAGACGGGTCTGGAGCTGTTCAACGGTTTTCCTTTTCAACCAGCGATACGTTAAAAAGAAAAAGAAGCACAGCGCAAAAAAGACGGACGAAAAACGTCGCGATGGGGTGTATTTCAAACTAAAGGAAGTCCGACATAATAATAATATTATTATTATTATTAGTACTGACTTGTGTGAGTCAGCATCATGGCAAGCCTCCTCCTCCTTCTCCTGCCGCTTCTTCATCTTCCTGGAATCGCAAGGAAAAAGAACCAACTGGAGGTCATCGCGTGAGTTATTTTGTTCCTTTGTATGTGAACAAGATTTAGATTATGATGATGAAAAGGTGAATCTTCGGCTAAAAATATCAGTGATTTCTTCCGATTCTGTATAGAAGAACTTAAAAAATTCATATTCAGGAAGCTTTTTCTTTACACAGCTGCTAAATTCTTGACACCAATTAGGTACATGCCTAACGTAAGTTTTTCAAGAAAATTGTATTCGTATAATGGTTTTTGAATAAAATCCTTTCTTGTGATGACGGTTTAATGGGGGTGGGTGGTAGGTTGGGACCTTGAAAAATGAGCTTTCTGCTCACCACAACACCCTCTATAGACAAATTGCAGCATATGCCTACCCCAACAGTTAACCAACTCCCATTTTCTAGACCATTTGACTAGCCTATTGTTTATACAGTACTAGGTAAATTATTTTTTAAGAAATCAAGACAACAAAACAATTGCCAAGTGACTAGAAGATGTGGAAATTATTAGTAATGTCATAATTTTATTTAAAATTAGGTAATTAGTAAAAAGCTTGTCCATAATTTCAAATCAATTGTGCTAAATGCCTAGTTCTAGCTTCAGCATGAGTTCATATTTGTAATTATATATGCGATGCCCTTTAGATAAGAAGAAATTCCTTAACTATTTACTATTTATTTATTATATTCCAATAACCTTTAATTATAGTGTCCTTTAATGAGCCACTGGTGCTAATCACCTGTCAGAGCTTTGCATATTAATATGGCAACCAATTTCAGGCCTCATTGAAATAATCACTGTATTTGTAATTAATGTATTTGTTAAAAATAAAACAATATTCCTGTATAAATATAACTGACCCTACCAATAATTGTAATTAGTTCACTAAATTTTACTTTATCTATTTCGCAAAGAAGGTTAATTTCGTTTTTTTATTTGGACAGCGACATTGAAAAGACTTGACATGAAATGTTTTCCGTTACATCATGCGTTTTTCGATTTGTAATGACAATCATTTGTTTCACTCATTCTTTTTGTTATTGTGCACATGTCAAGGTACACTATTTGTTTATAATAACACTTGTACTGACAAAAATTTAACAATAGCACGTATGTACTTAATATACTATATTTTATTGGCTGTAATTTTAGGAAAACCATGCAGCATATTTTTCTTACTTAATTTATTTGTGACTTTCTTATATATATAGACTTTATAAACAATTACAAATAAATTATTTGGGTCAAAGAGCATCTATGCTGAATTGGCAAAAATTTATTGCACCTTGACATCAAATATCGTCTGCGAAATTGATGAGTAAATTAAATATCGAAAAATGTCTTTCATCTTTCTCTACATGACAAAGTACTAAGAAAGCAAATAAATTAATGATTATCAAATTAAAGCATAAACGTTTAAGGGCGACAGTGAAATAAATTAATTTCCCCATTAAAAATCTGTTTAGCAAATATCAAATAATTTTAATTTCATTGAATTTATATGTTTAACTTTAATTTTAAGAATAATGTTTATTTTTGCTTTTACTTTATATATGCATTTTCAAAATAGAAAACTCATTTTTTACTACTAAACCGAAAGCTTTTCACCCTGCACTGTAACATTGTAGCTGATTTATGATCAGTCTGCTTCTTATATATGTATGTACTCTCTGCTTCGTTATTTTTGATAAATGTTATTAGAACTCATGATTATTATCTATTTTCTGCTTGTATATTTCAGATAACATGTACGGTGAATGCCACCACGAGATAATAAAATGTACTGTATTTGTATGGGGTCTCTCCGTTAACCAATGATAAAAATTAAATAAAAAATGTAAATAGTATAAAATTTATTTTTTTATTGTATTATTAGAGGAAACGTATCTTGCTCTCCACTGCCAAAGCAAGTACAAAACACTAACAAAATATTAAAATATTACTGTTTTATAGGATTAAATGCTGTTTAATATTTGGTTTCAGATTAATATCGGCTTAAAATCGAACAGTTCTAGAAATAACTTCTGCAAAAGTCAGTTTGCAATTTGCTAACTCAACTAAATTCTTCGTTTATCTCGTGTAAATAGATTACTTAATGTAGTTTACAGATTACTATTACAATTATTACTTTCAGTATCATAAGGTCGTCAGTCCTAAGATTGGTTAGACAGGCACCTCCACTCTTTCCTATCCTGAGCTAATCTTCGCATTCCCCTAAAACTAGAACAACCCATATCTTTAATTATTTGCAAACAGTAATCTAATCTAGGTTTTCTCTACCCCTCCTAACTTCGGTTTCTGCCTCTAATATGTCTCTAATTAGACCTTTATGCCTGAGAAGGTGTCCTACTAACCTATCTCGCCTATTTCTTATTGATTTCTATAGAGTCCTCTGTTCTCCTATTCTTTCTAATACTTTCATTTCTAACCTTCTGTATCCACGGTATCCTCATCATTCGCCAGTAACACCATATTTCGAACGCTTCTAATTTCTTCTTTTCCGCCGCGCCCACAGACCATGTTTCGCACCCGTACAGCGCCGTGCTCCAAACATACGCCTTTAACAACCTTTTCTGAATTTCTAAATTAATCGTTCGCTAGTATAGAAGTGACTTCTTTTTATTGAAGGCGACTCAACCCTGCGCTATGCTGTGCTTATATCCCTACTACTCCTTCCTTCCTGACTTATCTGACTTCCTAGATACCTAAATCAGTCACATCTTCTAATTTTTCGTCTTCTCTCTTTATATTAGCTCTTTCCCTACTTCTTTTTGTTATTACCTTATACGATCAAGAATTACAAAATGAAAACTTTCTACAGTACGTTCACTCTCAAAACCTTCACTAGTTTTATAAAAAAAACATATGTTTTTAACTACCTCATCTTCTTCATCCACCCCATAGTCCTTCATTACCTGAAAAGTTAACTAATCTTTAGAAAAAATAGGCTTTTTGCTAAAGTTTGAATCTCGCTTCGTTTTGGCGCATTAATTATTTAAATTGTTTTACTTAATTGTCATAGTTCTCCCGGTTGTCTACTACCCCTTAATGTCATAAATTATTTCTATTTAGTAATAGTCATTTTTTCCCCCTAGGTTTATAATACTACTACTACCACCTAATATTCAAAAAAAGGAATAAAAAAAATTAAATTTCACAGATGCTGAAAATACTAAGCTTCATTTAAATAGCGTGAATGGTTTACAGTATTTTTTCCACGGACTGTATTACGATTTAATTTAACGTTAAAATCGGATTATACGGAGAGAAAGTAAAAACCACAGCTGCGTAGGCCCACTTATGTACATTCCAAATAAACGTTTTGTAAGAGCTCGTGCTGAAATGCAATATTAGCATAGAAAGTACGTAAATTTAGCTGCAATGCAACTGCTCAATAAAAGTTTACTCCGTAATGACTAAAATTATAAATTAATACCCGAAGCGATTCTCGATCGTTACATGAATAATACTTTCCATTATTTTTGGTATATAATTAAATATTTACAATTAACTTTTACAGACCGGGCGAAAACAACGCAAGTTAATTGAATTATCGCTTGTATTCATAATTGTTATGAATCTCGAATAAATCTAAGGGTTTTAGGTAAAGACGTGCCGGATAGTGATTAAGCTAGCCATCGGACGACCGTGTACCCGGCATTAGTTGTGCCGGGTACCCGGTCGTCCGATAAAACCACGACGATTAAATGGTTCATACTTTGGTTCTAAAAAAACATTTTGGTGTTTCATTCCCATCAGCCACTAATGCTTGTGGGCAGTCAGTCCCTCCGGACTACGCCGGAAGGTAGAGCGGAAGACCCTCTTCAGCCTGCTTTCAGGAATTGTGGGAATGGGTGGGTGGTGGTTCGAGTGAGACAGATGAGACGGGCGAAATGAGGATAGAAGAGAATGAAAGATTCTTTGAGAGATATTACTGCCCCAGCATTTGCCTAAGAGATTCAAGGAAATCACAGTAAAACATGGACCAAGGCAGACGAACCCGGAATCGAACCGGCGTCCTCCCCAATGCTAAGCAATGATCTAAAGCTCTAGGCCATGCCGCTCGGTTCATTCAGTAAAAAAAAACACTTTTGGGTGTTTCATTCCCACCAGCCAGTAATGCTGGTGGACGGGCAGTCCCTCCGGACTACGCCGGAAGGTAGGGCGGAAGGTCCTCTTTAGCCTGCTTTCAGGAATCGTGGGAACGAGTGGGTGGTGGTTCGGGTGAGAAAGTTGATACGGACGAAATGAAGACAGAAGAGAATGAAAGATTACTTGAGGGATATTACTGCCCCAGCATTTGCCTAAGAGATTCAAGGAAATCACAGTAAAACATGGACCAAGGCTGACGGACCCGAAATCGAATCGGCGTCATCTAGAATGCTAAGCAATGGGTTAAACCTCTTAGCCATGCCACTCGGTACTTTCTTTCTTGCGAACTTTTCATTAAATAGCACCCTCACTAACGTCTCAACACACATTATGTCCCACGCAATTTTTAACCAGAGAATTGATTTGAAATGAGATTGTAATGTTTATAAACACTAAATGTTTTCAAAGTGATAAAATTATACTAATAAGATACCGTTAAACAATACAATAAAATAATATAAATACAGAAATTGTAAAAGTTATTAAAAATCTGTTTAGCAAATATCAAATAATTTTAATTTCATTGAATTTATATGTTTAACTTTAATTTTAAGAATAATGTTTATTTTTGCTTTTAC